ATTTTAGTCCAAATTTGAATGTATGTTGGTTTTAATTTCTTGTAAACCACCCAAAGCCTATGAAAATGGAGCACTATATAAAAATCAAAACAAAAAAATATTTTGGGTGAGGACAGTGTTGATGTAAGCAACAGACATTAGTTAAAGTTCACTGTGTGGAGCGGGAATTAGCTGACTCCCAAAATGATTAACTAATCCTCTCTCAACCAAAAAAACAAACAGGCAAACCTACCACTAGTTGCATCATGGGGTCATTTTTGAACCCACTAGAAAGTGACCAAATAAAAGGCTAAATCTGCAAAACTTTTGTTCTGGCTGATTTTTCCCCTCAAGGGGCAGCAATCAACATAAGAATGGCTTTCAGTTATCAACAAGTACAGATAATTTAAGGTTTAATCCTTCCTGAAACTATGCAAAATGAGAAAATCTACATAACAATGCAATTCATTTTTTTTCCCTACAAAGTAACAGCTTGGCCTACTTTAACTTAAAAAAAATCTTAGCACAGCTTTCTTTCAATGGATTTTAATTCAATTTGCTGAAGGTTTTAGTTAAGAATCTTAGCTTTAAAGGGAGACCAAGACTATCTGTACTGAAATGAGCTTTGTGCCTTTTGAGTGGGGAGTGCTAGCCTTTGGGGCATGAAAGTACCCAAAAAGCTATTCCTATGGAGATTCTGGGGTACTTTTGCACCCCAGGCATGCTTGTTTTATTTCTAAAAAAACATTAAAGGGAGGAAGACTCAGGCTCATTATGTTGTTTCCGGAACAGTTCACTTCACCATTAATCAGGCGCCTGTTGTTAAGGCTGTCCTGCATGGAACTGAAAGAAGCAGTCTTCACTCTGATAGCATGTTGCCAGTCTCAGCTGCTGCCTTTCTCTCAGTTTTGTCTTTTGTAGTCCTTTTACTTTAGCCCACAAATCAGTGGTTCCTGCAATCACAAATGCACTTTCTTTCTCCCATAAGTCTCAATAGTACCCAGAAATCCCCTGAACCAGCCCAGTTTACTCTGCTTTCTTTTAATATGTTTAAAAGAAATGCTATTTCTGTAGGAAAGGTTGTCTTCACATATACTCACTGCAAGGTTAAAACTTGATTTAATTTTGGTATCATCCAGTACTTGAAGCTCTTGGGGTGGGGAACAACAGTAATAAATACAATGAAATACAATGCTGAATACAACAACAATAAAACAACATAGGATACATAAATATTAAAACAGCTCTTAAAGCCTCATTTTTACAACTGAACAGCTAAAACCAGTCCATACTCCTAGGCCAACAGACTGCTAGGCAATTCCTTCCCACAAATTCCTGTGTCTTATTGGAGTTGATAAACAGTTACACAATAGAGTTGTTTGGAGTTGATAAACAGCTACAAAATAGGGTTGTTTCTTGCCTCCCCCCACCTCTTCTTCCTCTTTTCAACTAGTCCACCTCAGCCAAGGATGCACAAGGCTCAGGGTCATCGCAGAGAAATCATCTTAGATGCAGTCATTAAGTGAAAAGAGCGGTTATTTGCTGCTGAAGCCTAAATCATACATATTCATGCCAGATACAAAAGAGATCTTGTTATGAAGCTTTAATGTTTCAAGGTGGGGTTGGGGGAGTGAATTTAGGTTATTCTTGCCTCAGTTGCTTCTGGTTTTTTAAGCAGATGCACAAAGTGTCATAGCAGCTGATCCTCCAAAAGACGGCTGCTTCCACCAAGGTAAAGTACTGATGGGAAGCTCAAGCTGTGTCAACAAGTCAAACTTTAGCATGTCTCATAGCTGATGGAAATAGTTCAAAACACAGCTAGGAGGCAATGTTCGTGTGGAGCACAGATCTTCTTTTCAAAGGTTTCAGCATGAAGGGATTCTGTGCATGTGTTTGGGCGTGGGATAAAGATTTCAATATTGTGAAATTTGTGGATGGTTTGCTCACATTAGAATGAGAGCCAGTAATATATAAAGATTGCGATAAAGTGATTAATATGCACTTTGACCATCGCATATGTGATCTTAGAGACAACACATTTGAAATAGCTTGTAACAGGATTCTTGGCATCCTTACCAAACTGCAGTTGCAAGGATACTTACAGGAAACCTATGATTGTTAACTAGCCTGACAGACTTTTAGTTGAAATGTGCCCTAAATATCGGGAATGGTGCTACAGAGGTTTTGTTGTCTTTTGATTTAAACCCACACACTTCTACTTACACATCCCACTCACATCTCTGAGAAAACCTGCATCTGCCAAAATTCCATCTGATTTCAGCACTAATAAGAAATAAAGGAAATTCATTCTATTAATGCCCAGTTACCCATATTATCACATCTGTGGAACAGACTGAAGCACAACTATGGATGGTGTAAGATTCTGATGTAATTGTATTGTGTGAGGTAGAGCAGTGGTTTCCAACCCCCAGTCCATGGACCGGTGCTGATCCACGAGAGATTTCCTGCCTGTCCTTTGGGGGAACTGCATCCCGCTAGATGTGGACCAGCACAGGGGCTGTCTGTGCTCTTCCTCAGTTGGCATCACACTTGTGGGGGGTGCACCAGTTCTGCCAGGGAGGCAGGGAGGTGTGAGGCAGCTCAGTGAGGCAGCTGGGAGCCACACTACACCAATTTCAGTATCTTGTTCTTTTGTTGGCATTTTTTATTGCTCGGTTTCTGGTTGGTTTGGAGAACGCTTTCTTCCTCTCCCTCTCCCTCTCCCTCTCCCTCTCCCTCTCCCTCTCAGTACTGTGGTTCCCAAGGTGCTTTTCCTGCTTTCACTGGTCCCCAGCTGTGGAAAGGTTGAAAACCAGTGAGGTAGAGTATATATTTGCAAGCTGCTGCTCTAAACCAGAGTCAATGTGGTGTAGTGGTTAGGAACACAGGACTGGGACTCAGGCAATCTGAGTTTTAGTCATAGTCACTGTTCAGCTACGGCATCAACTGGGTGACTACGGGCCAGTCACAGACTCTCAGTCCAACCTACCTCACAGGGCTGTTGTTGTAGGGATAAGATTGAGAACAAGAGCGGAGAATGATGACAGCTGCTTTGAGTTCTTTGCAAGAAAAATGCAGGATAGAAATACAATAAATAAATAAAATCTTTTTTTCTCTCTCACTTTGTGAGCTAAGAAATTGCTAAAAAGTGCAAGGAGATGGCAATACTCTCCTTCATATAAAGAACTGTTCCTTTGACTTAGAAGCTAGCTATCAATGGGGAAATAACTGAAAACCCAGGTCCATTTCCCATATTAATAATTGCAGTTCTGTATGAGGCCCAGGTTCATGAGATTTCATGAATATGACACCTGTTTGAGCTATGTCATTTCTTTGCCATTTAGTAATTCCCTTGTTACTTTTCCCAGGTAAATTCCCTAGGGTTTCTTCACTTCAAGCTCTTGGGTACTTTTCTAATCATCAGATCTCACTGCAGGGGGCAAGCCAAAGGGCTGCTTTAAAGAAAGCAAGAGCTCTATACACCTACCAAAGGAAGAAAGATGGAAGGGGGTAGGCAGAGCTCTGAAAAATAAACAGTCATTTCATTTGAGATGAAGCAGCCTGTCCCACAGTTGGTGGGAATGTCTGAATGCAGTCCCCTGCTGAGCAAGCTAGCAGGTTTGGAAATGTATTTGGTGGGATTGCATGTAGAACTGTGAGGGCAAGCATTGAGCTTAAAGTGATGAAATGAATTTTTATCTTCACTGCTTTAAACAAAAAGGGGTGGGGGAGGAAGAATGGTTGTGATTGTTGATTTTTTTCAGCAGCTAAAACACTTTCAGAAGAAATTCGTTTAGAGAACAATTTGTTACAGAAACATCAGCAAAGAATTCACATGATAAAATCTGTCAAAAATAGGTATGAATTTAACTCAACTGAATTTCTACTGGTCTCAAACCTCATTCTTCCTGCTGAATCCCTGAGTTGGTCCATATTCTTACCTCTTGTCAGGAGACAGAAATCTTTATTTCACACTCAGCTGCAGGCCCCTGCTAAATGCCAGGTCCTCTGAATACTGGCAGTCAGATACAAACAACCTGGCTGAGGTCAGCTAAAGGCCAAGAACCTCTGCTTAGCATACACAAACAGAGAAATCTCAAACTCATTATGGGCGCTCTCAAACCTATTGACTGGTACGATTGTCCAGTTGCCCAGACAATGAGAAATCTTTACTTAGGGGCAGGGATGAAAGAAGACTAAGAGATTCAGAAGAGATTTTTCTGAAATCCCCACTCAGGCAGGAAGGTGGCAGAGTGGTGGTGAAACAGAATAGATCTGAGGTCTTTCTCTTTTCGTTGTGGAAGTGAGGGAGCTTGGCACATACACCAGAAGAGGCTGCACCAAGCTCTTTTCTTCTGCCCAACTGCTGCAGTGCAGGTTTCTGAGAAGGAGGGAGGACCTGACAGAAGCACCAGAAGAATTGCACTGCAGAAACCATAGGCTTTCAAAGAACCAAGCAAGCAACATAACTCAGAACTGTGAATATCTGGATTGTGTGTTTCCGTTTTATTTGCCATTTGCCACTAAATTGCCACTGTAAATTTCTTATTGCTTGCACGCTCGACCAACCTTTCTTCTTTTTGCCTTAATCCCTGACAGATCTTTTACCCTGTTTTGACCAAAACCCTGAGTGCTTTGGGGTGAAAGAGGGGAAGCTCACAAGGGAGCACACCATGTTGTCTGCTATGCTGATGCCGCTTTAACAGCCAGGTTGCTCACAATGTGCTAAGCAAAACAGGTAACCTATATAGGGCTTCCCTGAGGAGACAAGAAGGCTACAAAGAAGCCCAACACAAGAAAACCCAGTGGGATCCTTAGCAAGTCATTCCCAAGGGTCTGAGGAAAATGGGTTTCCTTCACTCTTGGTGGTGAAAGCTGCTACCAGTTGGCTCTGCTCTGCCAGGCCTTCTGCCCATTGCTGGCATATCCATGGGCACCAGATCATGGCCGCATCCTATTGTTCCAGGCCTCCTCCTAGCTTGAGCATATATTGGCCAATATAATATGCACTAATTACTTACCATTCAGTGTGGTGAGTCTCTCAGTGCTATCTGAGTTAGTTGAACTAGTCCCCTAAGAGTTGGAATAGGCAGTGATTTTCTTGGCCTGCAAGAAAGAAGGCAGAGAGTGGAAAAGTGAAAGTCTTCATTTATAATGCAATCTTAGGCAAATTTTCCAAAAAGTACAATCTGCATTGGCTCTCACACCCAAACATAGGACTACAGCCTTACAGTACAAACCCTACATTCCGTTGAAGAAGTTGTTGTATTTTATGATCAGTTGATAAAGGCCAGTTTTAAAATATTTTAATAAATAACATCCATGTCTACTCAGAAGTATGTTACATTGAATGTAATGTGATTTTTTCCAGCTAAGTGTACAACTTCGGATATAGGCTGTGAAACTGGTTTGCCCAGGTATCCTGTGGTCTGAGATACCTGAAGAACAGTTTTCTTTTTGAACTTAATGGTTTCCAAGAAGTTTCCAGCTAACATAATTATTGAAGTGAGTGATGTTCTATGTTCTAGTATTAGTATTGTGTGCTTCTAAAGCATGCCCCCACACCACAAGTAACATCTGTAAGTTGTACATCTGTAAATCTGGGTGTTACAGATTGCATGCCTATCTAGTACACTTTCACCCAATTATAAACCAATGCTGTGAACTTATCCTGAACCTCTCACTATATACAAAACCATAATTATGCATATTTCGAGGCAGCCTCTCTCTAAAATTCATTGCATGTTTCCAAAAACCAAAGCATGAGAGCAAATCTTTTAAAATAAATGGGACCAATTTTGAATTGTTTGATTCATGTATGCAACTACTTCCTGATTAATAACCATCAAGTGCATACATTTCTTATTTTACATCCCTGGTTAAAAAAAAGAGAAAAATCTAATCTGATTCTAATATCACTATAATGACCATGGGCAAAGTACAGTCACAGCTGCCATTTTGCAACATGGCAAGATTATGTATATTCCTAATGGGCACAAATTACTTGCTTGCAGTTTCTGAGATGGAAGAAGAATACAATAAGAGTTCGTATGATTCACTCCCTGCCTGCATTGAGTGCCACATAGACACATATTATGAGGACCTACAGGAAGGGGCAAGGGGGAACAATTGCCTCTCCTATTAGCCATAATCTTTCGATTCCCAGGTTTCATTAATGGAAAAAAGGTAATCTCCCAAGCCCACAAAGAAGCTGAGATGTGAGGCAAGAGGCCCACCAATGAAGGCTGGAGGCTCCAAGGCCACTACAGTGGAACAGCCGATCCAGATTTTAGTGTGAACTTTAAGGAACACTGATGGCGCTTAACCCGATAGCAACTTTAACATTTATATTGAAAGCTGGAGCAAAAACACTGCCCCACTGGCTTGGAGATGCCAGCCATTTTAATAGCCTGTTTCCATTTGATTTTAGCTATGAAATGAAGCTTCAGCAATGGTTGACACCTCTACTGTCTGGGTGTGTTAACTCTTCTGGGAATCTTAAGCATTTGTAGCGGGGGGGGGGGGGGGGCGTCTTTGTTAGGAAGTAATTGCGGCCTTGAAGAAGAATTTAGATATGTAGGAGCTTAGTGTAGCAGAATGTGGGCAGTAGTGGATCTACCCCAAAATGAAAGTTAACTGTGAGGACAGTTCATGATCTTTCTAACACAGGTTTTGATACTATTTTTTAATAAACATTTCAAAAACATCCTGATAATGTATTCAGGCAAAGTTCATCATTTTTAAATCCATATTGCAGAAGGCAGGGCTTTGGCTGAGAATACACAGGTTACAATGTAGCCCAGTGTTGTTCTTATGGCCAGTGTGCGTGTGTGTGTGTGTGTGTGTGTGTAGGGGGAATGTTAGAACAGTCTAAGACAACTCAGCATTCCAGCGTAGAATCCGGTGTCATTATTCAGTCTCAAGATATGTTGGTGTTTTAGGAAAATGTGGATGGAGCTGGGATTGTAGCAGCAGCAGCTTTAATTAAGGGCTAGAGAGGGTGTTTGTGTGTGAGGCAAGGGGCTTAAGAGAACCTGCCATTTTTCTCTCCTGCAAAAAGTCCACACGGGGCCTCAACCCATCTCTCTCTTGGTGCAGACCCTGAAGTTGAGGCAATTTGCCTTCCAACCCCTTAGATGCTAGTCTTTTCTCATGTGTTGAAGAAATGACCTTGTTGAAAAGGTACCCTGGTTCAGATGAGGTGACAGACCACCATGGGTTAACCAAACTTCAGGGCACCACAGCGTTATGCAAATTAGGAAAAATATGCAATTCCTGAACCCTTTGAATTGAACTGCAGCAGAAAATTGCTGCAGTTCAATTCAAGCCATGAAAAGATTGTACTTTGAAAAGGCAGATGGTAGCAATGAGAAAAGTTAAGAAAGTCATCCAGGCTCATCTAGAAGTCTAAAACTTGAAAAGTTATGCACATTTATCCTCCCACTGCTAAAGATACTCAACACAGACGTGAATGCTACTCTGAAGAGCAATGTGCCCTAGCCTGGTACTCTCCAGATGTTTTGAACTTCAGCTCTCATCAGCTCCAACCAACATGGCCAATGGTAAAAAATGCTGGGAGGTGTAGTCCAAAACATCTGGAGGACACCAGATGACAATCCTCTGTCTGATTGGCAAGAATTTGATGGACCACAAGTTTCTTGCCATTGTTTTACGATAAAATACTCTTGCTTGAGAAATCACACAAAATGTACCTGTTTTTTTGGGAGATACAAGCATAAACTAACATTTATCCTAGAGCTGAAAGAGAGAGTTTCAGAAGTCTGGGTTATTTAAACTCATCTTTTGATTCACTGTCAGAGGAGGTTAAACCTCTTGTGTAGAGTGTATCTTGTGAGTATGTATGGCTAAGATGGTGGTTTAGGGATTTGGCCTGAGGTAAAATAAGTAATTAAGAGGCTGATAATAGCTACACCGTCCTTTGAGTCCTTAAGAAATGTCAGCAAGCATACCTTTGAAGCCCCCAAAGTAAATATTGGTATTCCCTTATGTATAAATTATTCCTTTAATAAATTCACTTGTTTAATAGTTCAACTTGGTTCTAGAGTTGCTGCCCAAATCACACCTAGGTTTCCTATACCAGGCTATGGGGAGGCTTTAAAGTATTCTCAGAGAACTGGTAGCAGCAGAAAAAGGTAACTTGTGGAACTCTGACTTATACTGGCAAAAAGATGCCAGGAACAAAACCTTGGGATTTCTGAATACAAAGCATGTGCTTTACCACTGAACTATGAGCCTTCCCTATATATACTGCTATGCAACCTTTTCAAATTTGTCCATGACTTTGTTGTTGACAATATCATATGAGTTTGATTATTTGGTATCTCTGACATTTGTATTTTTTTAGAAGGGCTATTTAGATTGAGGAAATTGAGAGAAAGGGCTAAACATACCTTAGCCTAAACCATTGCTTCAATCAAAATTCAGCAAACCCAGTTTTAAGGAAATCTCGATAAGATACGGCATAGCATGGTCCATAGTAGCAACAAGCTCTCACTTTGTTAAAGTCAACTCCTGTCCCTGTTATATCCTAACCTGAATATTTCTTTTAATTATCTGTTTTGTACAGTAAAATAGATCCTTGAGGCTCAATGAAGGCTACCACTGCAGAAAGGAAGGGAAACTATTTACAAGAAGGAGATGTTGATAAAATTGGACATCCTATGAAAATACAAGCCAACACTGAATCTATGGGGCAGGGAGAGGTACAACTAGAAATTAATAAATAAAATGCATAGTTCACATTTTCCATAGTTTAAATACTGCAACAGAATAGTGATGGGACAGAATAGAAACTGTACATCTGTCACTGGTAGAAGAAGGACCCCTTGTGGTTTGAAATAAAAATGAACGAACATAAGCTAGAGAAACAGCTTCTGGTCATGGGTTGAAGATTAAATATTGCATACAGAATTAACAGCAAAACATCCCTGTAAATGACTAATTTGATGTTTGTGATAGAAATAGCTAGAAGCACAGTGTATTCTTAATTAGATTTCAGCTCTACTGTGTTTGGTGCTGCTTATTCTCACCATAGGATCACATAGGAGTGCAGCTTAGAAGAAAGAGAGTAACATGCAAACAGGATAGTGTGCTACAGAGTGAGAGTGTGTGTGTTTGCATGCCTAAAAAATTAACTACACTGTCTAATCACAACTTATTAATGTCTTACAATGTGTACAAAATATCAATAAAGTCATCCATGTCATCCAAACTCTGAAGTCTTATTTGCTAATAACTGAAATGTAGGAAGGGACATTATTTTGTACCATGGACAATGAATCCAAGGGCAGATCTAAAAAGGCAGAATTCTGAAACACTCTCACCCATTCCATGTGATGTGATTTCTGAAGCAAGAGTGTTTTATTCTTAAAATAATGGCAATAAACTTGTCGTCTACTACCTTATTTCAAATCAAAAAGGGGAACAGGATGTATTATATTGTATGTCCTAAAAGATAACCTCTGCATCACCTAAAGTGTCATAAACATTGCTGCTGATGAATAAGCCAGGAAGGATCACCAACAAGATCTAAACCTACATTCCCCAGTCCATACACTATTCATACATACTGTTAACAGACTGAGATATACATCCCAGTCCGCGTAGCAGCAGTCAAGTTACTGGTTTGATGATACTTGTATCTGATACCTCCAATTTTAGTCTTAATAACATCATACCAATGACTTCTAGAGAAGGGAGGGAAACACACAGTGTCCCACCAATCACCTCTCCCATTTTTAATGTTTTCTGAATTCCACTTAAAAATGATGTTTCAACTTCGGCAACTTACTTATATAATAAGCATTATATAAATATATAAATGGATTGACTTGCACATTTACATGTTCCCAAGATGGTACAAATTTGGGAACATGTACCAACTTGAGGGCACCCTGAGGATCTTGCTGCAAATGATTAGTCGTATGGCTAATGGGGCTGATTAGAAATTTAATTAATAAATTTAATTAATAAATAAATGGAGTGAATGAAAAGGCACAGCCTTTGGTTACACCTGATAGTTTTCACTTTGCCAGGTGTCAGAAGTAACCAAAAAGGAAAATAAATTTACCTGCTACCTGAGAGGGACC